CACGTTTCGTGGCCCCACAGGGAGCTCCACCGAAGGCCCCAGTGGGACCGTCCGCATGCGTCCCGAAAACCTAATTTGGCATTTTCACCCACCCGGTACAGTGTTTCGTGGCCCCATAGGGCTCCACCGAAGCCCCTAGCGGGACCACCCGCATGCGTCCCACACGCCCAATTTGGCATTTTGTCACCCACCCAGTATAGTGTTTCGTGGCCCTATACGGAGCTCCACGGAACCCCCCAGTGGGACCGCCCGCATGCGTCCCACACGCCCAACTTAGCGTTTTCGCTCACCTAGTACAGCGTTTCGGGTGCCCCATCGGGAGCTCCACGGACGGCCCCAGTGCTACCGCCCGCATGCGTTCCCCGCCGCCCAGTGCAGCGCTTAGTGGCCCCATAGGGAGCTTCACTGCAGAAGATACTCACAAATGCAGTACCCACAACTGCATAGTCTTGGGTCCTTCGCCAGGATAATCTTTAACTATTTTTTATTTCTCCTCCAAACCCGCCTGTAGGAGGACATGCACGACCTAACGCTGGGGGGCCAAAGGGGACAAAAGTCACGATGCGCTCGCGTCGGGAGAAAGTCAGAGGAGGAAACGGTACCCATGCCACTAACCCTCCCCTTGTTTCCGTTTGCGTCGGCCTCCAGGGAGGCTCTCGTCGCCACCGCTGGAGTCGCCTTGGAGTTCTGGTCAGAACGCAGCCCTGCAGAGGTCTGGGGAGTGAGCACTGGTATCGGTACCTTGTGGTTTCCCCCAAAAACGCAACGGAAGGTTTTCCGTGAGATTTTGGCGTTGCAGGTTTTTCACAACGGGCGTTTTCATTCGGTTCTGGGGCCTGGGGCCCTCACAGATCGATCCGGCTCGGAAGAGGACGCAGGAAGATAGGGTTAAGGGCTCCAGTCGCGATTTTCAGATCTGAGGGTTAGTCGATTTGGACGACTCGGGATGAAAAGCCAGCCCCGGGGAATGGGTCGGGACTCCTGGGGGCCCCGCCTTGGGAGAATCAGTGCGTCAAATCTGTGGTGGGCTGAGGTGGCCCAGCGCAGGTGCTGGCCAGCAGAAATGCCTAACAACATGCCTCCCTTCCTTGCCACGATTGGACGCGGCTTGAGAATTTGTCAGTGTCGCCCTTAGGAAGGGTCCAGGGACAGATCTTGAGAGGATTTGCTTCGCACCCCCCATTTGACTATTTTTCTGGGGGTCCATCCAGCGCAGGCCCCCTGGCCGTTCCCAACCGCTATTCCCTAGACTTCTCCGAGGGTGCGCACAATGGGGTGGCGCCAGCGGGGGATGGCCTTCTGCAACGGCAGGGGGCTTCTTGGAAACGCCCAGGCGCTTCTGGGACGGCTTCTTAGTTAGCAACCTCCCGGCGCTTGAAGGCCACCTTCTGGGCCCACCCCGGACCCAGGGGCGGTGCACCTGTGGCTTCCTGGCCCAGCCACGGGGCATATATACATATATATATATATATATATATATATGTGTATATATATATATATATATATATACACACGGCGCTCCTCGGCCCCCGGTCTGGGCCAGGGGCTGCGGCCCGCAGGCCAGGGGATGTCTCAAGCGAGCTTCGTCGCTGTCCTGATGAACCTCACCGAGCGCGCTCCACTACTCGCAAAGCGCCCTCTCGCGAAAAACGGCGGCAAAATACACATGTCCGCCCCTATGTAATGGGCCGTTAGCCCTTTCCCTCCTCCTGAGGTCCTCCTCCCCCTGAGGTCCTTAGAGCGTTCCGGAACGCTCTCGCAGCGTTCCGGAACGATCTGAGAAGGCCGCGGCGCCCGAGACAACCTCCAGAGTCGCCAGGACCTCAGAGATCCTCGACTTTCTCCTCACCCGGTGTTGCCCTCGTCCTGGCTTCGTCTTACCTCGTCGCTGTCCTAGCCGCTCACTCCTCCCTCACCGCCCACCAAACCACCCCAACCCAACCCGAAGGCCACGATTTGCCCTCCATTTCCAGGGGGGGGGGTCGGGGAACCTCGCAAAAACACGTGGAACCCGTACCCCCCCCCAACCCGAAATTCGGGTCAAATTCGGGTCTTCGGGTTGGGTTGGGGTGGTCTGGTAGGTGGTCACTCCCCAGGTCCTCGGAGCGCTGGCAGCACCCCGCCCTCGCGCGCATGCTCGACGCCATGGACGCGGTGGCGCTGGCGCTGCGCGAGGCGCCGGGCGCCGCGGCGCAGCGCCTCGAGGGGCTGGTCGAGCGCTCCGACGCCATCTCGGGGGAGCGAAGGGGAGAGGGCACCCGCCGCCCCCCTGCCACTCGTTACCAGCCTCGAGCATATCCCTAGCCGCTATCCCTGAGATTGACACGCCAAAAGGCGATGACAATCTTAGGGATGCACCCTCAAAAGATAAGGGAATCCCTGAGATTGGCATCGTGATGAGGCGATGCCCAGCATAGGGACAGGGATATGTTCCAGGCTGGTGAACTCGGCATCGCTCGGACGTGTGCATTGCTTGCCGGCGAGGGCCCCGGAGGAGCATGTCGGAGCACCTCCTGCGGAGCTGGACGCGCACGGCATCGAGACATGCACGGGGAGTGGACGCGCGAGGGATGGCGGGTTGTCAGGAGCGAGCTGACAGCTAGTTCACATACCTAATGCGACCCGACAGCATTCGGGGGTGCCCGGATCGTCCCGAACGGCCGCCGGAGGCCCGAGTCACAGCCCGCAGACCACCCCGACCCCCGAGCCGTTCAATCCCAGCGTCTCTCCCTGCTCTCGAACTCTGGGGCTCCTCAGCCCCCCGGGCCATCAACAAAACCAGGCCCCTGAGCGAAACACTGGCCCCGGGGCAGGGGTCGGGGACCTCGAGCTGGGGCCGCGCACTGAAGAGATCCTGCGGGTGGATGCCTCGGGGTGCCGATGCCGCTGCTCGTCCTGGGGAGCGCCGCTCCGGCGGGAGTCTCCTCGAGGGTCTGCGTCGGAGCGCAGCCCAGGAGAGGTCCGTGGCTGGGCCAGGAAGGCACAGGTGCACCGCTCCTGGTTCCGGGGTGTGCCTGGCCAGCGGCGGTGGATATGTACAGATCTCGTCGCCCTATTCCAAGAAGTCAGGGTGGGATTCTTAGAAAGCAGGGGCTATCTTTTGAAGACAACATGTCAGGGGATGTCTGGGCACATCTCCTAAGTCGGTACTCTATTTTTTCTGCCGTGGCCAGCATAATGATGCTACGGTTCAGGCTACCTTAGTCCACAGTCGGTGCAACGTCAAAGGGAGGACGAGGAGGAGCATGAGGAGCAACAAGCGGTGGGCCGCGGAGTCAAATATCCAGGTCAGCCTTGGGCGGAGAGCCGCTACCCCCTGGGCGTTCGATCGCAATCCGCACCAGACGTTTCATATCCTACTTAGGGGTCGAGTGCATCCGAGCTCGGACGGAGGGACTCCCGACGGCCCCTTATCCTTATCCTTATCCTCCTCCTAGTCGCCGTTTTAGGTTGACAGGAGCAGCCCGACTGTATCTCACGTGCAACTGTGCACCAGCGGTTTTGAGCCCTGTGCCACGGGCTGGGCAGGGGGGCCAGGGAACCATGGCCAGGGGAGCAATCCAACGTCGAAGATCACATGCGGATTTGCTTCTGCAACCCCATGGAAGCCGTATGTATGGAGACATTGGCAGACACCAGCTGCGAACTGCGGTTCTGGGACTTGGTAATGCCCAACGGCACATGCAAATGGGCATGACCAGGACCGGTGCAGGGGAACCACCTACCCCACCACACGCTATTACAGTTTGGTGGCAAGAAGGGCACATGGGTCAGCACATCATGCGGGCAGCACGCTAGTGAGTTCCGGGTGCGCGGACCATGGTGGTTCCAGAGCTGGGCCAGTTACCCCTAGCAATACGGGGCAGTGCTGGAAGCAGTATCTGACACGTCGAAACGAGATACCTCATTCGGAGTGCTACGTGTGCCAGGAGTGTGCTTGATAGGACACCTTGTGCGAGGCATTTTCCGGATGACATGGGGTGTCGATGAGTGCGCGTGCAGGTGCAGGAGCCGTGCGTCAGACGTATCGGTTTCCGCGGCAAGCGCTCCAGGTCGCGCTAATTGGATGGCCTTGGACCTGGCCATGCCTTGCAGTTGCGAACGGAATTGAGACGTGCTGACGCGGCGAGGCGGCAAATGCCAGGAGGGGTGGAGGGGGGGCGCAAACCGCGCCGGTGCGACCGCGCGACAGTAGACGAACAAGGCCTATAATTTACACGCTGCGCGCTATTTTCCTCGTGCGCTGCGTTAGCTGGGCATCGCCCAGGGCGCGTCAAGTGGGGCCCCCAGTGGCGGCGCCATTGTCGCGAATCCATGCCCGTGGCACCGCGGTGCATTCGCCGAGAGAAAGTTCCAATTTGCCATGCGGCGAGGCCAGTTCTCTGCCGTGGAATTGGCCGCCAGGATCGCCCCGAGTGGGGCCGCCGGGTTATCGGGCCCTCGTCGCTAGATTGCCCCATTTGCAGCCCCCGGGCTCGACGTCTCGGGGAGTTGCAGGAGCGCGCCCGGTGCCGTGGCGCCCGCGCGTGCCCGACCATCCAACAGGGGAGGGGCTCGTGGCGGAGCGGCCCAGTGCGGCCTGCGACGAGCTGGGGGTCCACGAGCGCGGGAAAAGGGCCGCTCGTGGATGGGGGCCAACCAAGAGGAGGAGGGGGAGGAGCCGGCGGCAGTCCTCATGGACAGCATCAGCGCCGCGGAGCAACGTCACTCATGGACGCGTCTTCGATCAGGGACCTGTACCACCTCGCGACGGAGTTGTGGCTCATCGCGGCAGGGGGCGGCGCTGTCCAGGTCTCCGTCGACGCGGTCACGGCCTGCGGCGCCAGGGTCAAGGAGCGACGTCGAAGACGCGGACTAGGGCCGCCCCGCGGGCGCGTGGCATTATCTTTCGCGGTGAGTATCGTCGAGGCGATGGGCGACGACCTGCCGAGCGTTGACCTGTAGGCGACCGGGGGGATATACGGGGTATCATGTAGCAGGTCAAGACGGAGTGGGGGCCGATGTCGGTCACGGAGATCTTCTCGCTGCGCGGGGTCAGGAGGCGACGTGAGCGACATGGGCGACCGAGTGCGCGGTCAAAGCGCAGCGCTCCATCGCCGCGGCCCGGAACCTTAGGTCGGCGATCAACGGGGAGGGGAGTTTCGACGAGGAGCAGTGCGCGCGCCTGTTCGGCTTCAGCGCGACTCTGTTCGAGCGCAGCCTCGGCGCGACCTCGCGCGTCGGGGGCGCGAAGAGCGGGGGGCGCGCGCCCAATTCTGGCGTCGGGCGCGCTGTCGAGGCGCAGCTGCAGAGTCGGAGCTAGCAGAAGGACGGTCGCGATCACTGCGAGCAGCAGCCGCTTCCAGCAGCAGCTCGTTGCTGGCGCCAGCCTGGCAGTCTCCCCCCCGCAGTCTCGGGAGGAAAACGTAGCGTGGCAGATCAGCGCGGACCCAGTGCGGCCCACTTGCTTAGGAGAACATGCAAGCCACTGCGGGGGCCATGTGGCCCTACTACTACCAGTGACGCAGTAAAATCGCGCGCTGCATTCCATGGCATTATGTGCAACGTTGAGCACGGGGCATTTGGAGGGTGACCCTAGTTCTATGTCGCTTTCCTGAAACGCTTGGCAGGTCACGATGCCCGCCGCCCACCTCTCCACTCTCTCTCTCTCTCTCTCCTGCTACTGCAGGCTGAACACAGGATCAGCTAATTGCGACCCTACGACTAAGGCGTGTATGGCGCACTACAGGTTCAGCACGTCTACGGCGACAATTTGCAGGCACGCACACATACCGCACAACACACAACACACAACACAACAGCACAACGCACAACGCACAACGCACAACACACACAACACAGCACACACGCACAACACACAACACACATCGCACAACACGCGACACACAGCACACACCATTCAACACTCAACACACACACGGTTTACAACACACAAAACACAGTCCACAACGGACAACACACACCGCGCAACACGTACCACACAACACACAACATGCAGCACACAACACACAACACTTAACACACAAGACACAGCACACAACGCACAACACATAACACACAACACGACACACAACACACAACACACTACACACTACATACCACACACAGCGCACAACCCACAACACACGACACACAACACGCGACACCCACTGCACAACGCACATCGCACATCACAAACCACAGCATACAGCACACAACACGCGACACACACAACACACACTCACACCACAACGCACAACACAACACACAACGCACAACTGACAATACCAACCACACAACACACAACACACAATCCACAACACACAATACATCACACACAAAACACAGACACATACACACATCACACGCACGCACACACGCACGCACGCACCACGCACGCACGCGCGCACACACACGCACACATACACACGTACACATGACACATACACATGCACATATTGCATACACATACACATACACATTCACATACACATACACATACGCATACGCATACACATACATACACAGAGAGAGAGAGAGAGAGATAGAGAGAGAAAGAGAGAGAGAGAGAGAGATAGAATGAGTGAGAGAAAGAGATCAAACAAGAGAGACAGAGAGAGAGAGAAAGAGAGAAAGAGAGAGAGAGAGAGAGAGAGAGAGAGAGAGAAAAAAAAGAGAGAGAAGGGGAGGGGTGCATTCCAGGCAGCCCAAGAGCCAGTCGGACCCGGGCCTGCATTCATACTACCCAGGCGTCCGGTTCTTTGTCGAGTAGCTAATGCCAGGGACCCCCGAAGGTCTTCAGCCTTTTTTATTCCTTACCCGTACCTTTATATGTATCCTCATCCTCCCCCTTCTCCTCCTCCCTTTCCTCCTTCTCGTCTCAGTTTTCCTCCTCTTCTCCTCCTCCTCCTCCTCCTCCTCCCCGATTTCCTTTCCCCCCCCTGCTCCGCTTTTCGCCCAGGGGTGGGGGTGGAGGGGGGGGGGGCGGGTGCCGTTCTTCGACTCCCCTGCCGTGCTTGCGGTGTATCCCGGCGGCGGTGCGCGCTTCCAGGCCCGTGGGCGCGGGCAGGGAGCGTCGCAGCCAAGCTCTGGGCAGGAAGCGGTGGCCCTCGCCCGTTCCTCCGCGTGCGCGTGCGCGCGGGCGGGGCGTCCGTCGGTCGCCCCATGTGGGGTCACGCGGGGGCCGCCGGGTCGATGCGGACAGGGAAGCACGTCAAGGAGGCGCAAGCACTGTGGAGGACGATCAATGGAGAGGAGTGTTGCCAAACAGCTTCCAAGATGTCCAAAGCATGTGTTAAACACGTTTGAAGCATGTAAACCACACGTTTCTAACATGTTTAGAGCATGTTTCCGACATTGTAAACGCACTGTAAATTCAACGATGGGACTGTGTCCCTGGGTGCGTGGCTGAGGTGGAATTCCGCGATGCGGATTCTTCTTGTTGTTGTTGTTACTGCTGTAGTTTGTTGTTTGTTGTCGTCGTCCCACCCGCGACCCGCCCCGCGACCCACCCGCGACCCACCCCGCGACCCACCCGGGACCCACCCGCGACCCACCCCGCGATCCACCCGCAACCCACCCCGCGACCCACCCGCGACCCACCCGCGACCCACCCCGCGACCTGCCCGCGACCAACCCCGAGACCTCCCGGCGACCCACCCGCGACCCACTGGCGACCCGACCCACCCGCGACCCACCCCGCGACCCACCCGCGACCCACCCGCGACCCACCCGCGACCCACCGCGACCCACCCGCGACCCACCCGCGACCCACCCCGCAACCCACCCAAAATTTTCGGCGCCTGCGGCGGGTTTCTTTTGTATTCGTTCCAGGTCGTTGCAGGTGGAGAACCTGCGACCCACCCGCGACCCAAACCGCGTTCAGTGTACAAATCGAAATTTTCGGCGCCTGCGGCGGGCTGTTTTTGAATTCCTTCCAGGTGCAAGTGTTGAGCCCGCGACACGCCCGTGACCCAAACTACGTTCACTGAACAAGCCAAAACTTCGGCGCCTGCGGCGGGTTTCTTTTGCATCGGCAACCCAACCGCGACCCACCGGCGACCCACCGGCGACCCACCCGCGACCCACTGGCGACCCACCCGCGACCCACCGCGACCCACCCCGCGATTCACCCGCGACCCACCCGCGACCCACCCGCGACCCACCCGCGACCCACTCAAAATTTTCGGCGCCTGCGGCGGGGTTCTTTTGCATTCGTTCCAGGCTTCTTCTGCATTCGTGAGGGCCACGAGGTCCGCGGGCTCGACGCCCGCGTCGCCCGCGCCCGCCCCCTCCACAATTGCGGGGGGCTGCGTATTTCTTTCTCTGTCCCACATCGTGAAGGCCTTAGGGCCGGTGCCGGCGACCCTGAAGACGAGGGCGACGAGGACGACGAGGAGGAGGACGAGGAGCAGGAGGAGGAGGAGGCGCAAGGGGAGGAGGAGGATGCGTGGTTCCATCCGCGGCCCGAGAGTTATGTCGGGCCTGTCCCCCTACAGGGGGATTTTCGTTGAAAAACAAAACATATCCCCAAAATGCCAAATACTCGAACATAGTCCCCGGACTATTTTTGGATTATTAGTTTGATTATGTTTGGGGTATTTTTTTCAATTTTTCTTCGAAGATCCTCCTCTAGGGGGACAGGCCCGACTTAACCCGAGAGGTCCCGACTCCATTTCCCAGGGGGTCGGCTTCTCGCCCCGGACCCGCTGTTGCTGCCCCTGCCAGGGGCCGGGATCAAGGCACAAAACGCCTGGAAGATATGAGGACATTCGAAGCGTCGGATGTCTGGGTCACTCAACCGCTGGACGACTCTTCGCGAATCGTTTCGTGGGGCTCGAGCCGGATACATCGTGGTGCATTCAGATAGGCGGGGTCTATCCAGGTAAATCCGAGTAGACCCAGGGAAACCCCGAGACATTCAGAGCTCTCCAGGGAACTTTTGAGCACATCGTGGCTGCTCGTCAGGCCGAGCCGAAGGACGGCAGAAGTCGTCATGCCCACCACGATTGATACCTCTGCTCGCACTTCTGCTCGCCCCAGGCGCACGTTGACAACACGGCCGGGGACGGCCGCAGGCTGACGGTGCCGTGCCAGCCTGAAACACTTCCCCATCCCTGTGATTGGCATCTGAGGGCAAACCCTCAGAGGAGGAGAGGGTACCCATACTGCCACCCTTCCTTCGTCTTCCCCTTTTTGGGCCTCCTGGGAGGCCCTTGTCGCCACCGCTGGATTCGCCTCGACATTTTGGTCAGAGCGCACCCTGGGAGAGGTCCTGGGAGTAGCGGTAACGGTACCTTTTGTTTTCCCTGCATTCGTAAGACTGTCATGGTTTTGGGCTCGCCAGTCTCACTCGGCGGCGAGTCTGGGGAAGGTGAGAAATTGCGGGTCTGCTCAGAAGGTTTGGAAGTTCCACAGCCTCCTGAGAAGTTTTGTTAGCCTCCTCCGAACACACAGAACACTTCTCAGAAGGCGCGAGGGCTTCTGATTAGCCCCGCCGCCTTCTGAAAAGGCCTTCTCCTTCTCACTTCCCCCCCTCCCTCGCCGCCGACACAGGGGAGGGCTGACCAGGGAAACTTGCTAGAGGGTTTTGGCTGAGACGTCGGTGTGCTGGGGGGGCCTGGCCAGAGGAGCAGAAGGAGGACCAGGACTAAGACCAAGAGCGCTGGGGACTCCAAGGCGGAGAGAGGACCGTATGACTGGAGGCCCCTAAAGGGCCGTACTCGAGGTCCCTGCGTGTGCGTGAATTCGCAAATCCGAGCATTCATTGGGGGGCCCCTAGCTGCAGGAGGAGGAGGAGGAGGAGGAGGAGGAGGAGGAGGAGGAGGAGGAGGGATACGACTTCCCCCCCTGGCTCGCCGCCGACTCAGGGATGGGGATGAGATCGAGGCTGGTCAGGTGCTGTGCTACCTCAACGAGGGCTGGTCCGCCGCCGACGGGGGCGCGCTGCGGCTGCACCCGCGCGGCGCGGCGGCGGTGGACGTGCTGCCGGTGGCCGGGCGGGCCGCGCTCTTCCTCGCCGACGCCCTGAAGCACGAGGTTCCCCCCCAGATAGGCTCTCTTCCTCTCCTCCTCCCTCCTTCCTCCTCCCTCCTCCTCCTCCTCCCCCCTCCTCCTCCTCCTCCTCCTCCTCCTCCATCTCCTCCATCTCCTCCATCTCCTCCTCTTCCTCCTCCTCCTCCTGCTCCTCCTGACTTCACGGACCTGCTGGATGATGTGGAAGCTACTGTGAATTCTCTGTTGTGGGCTGCCGCTGGACATCACGAAGCGGGCGAAGACTTGGCCAGAGGTGCGGATATGATGCACATTCATCGTGAATTCGACCGGCTCTGCGACGTCAACGGCGAGGACGTGGTGGCGCTCAACCTCGTGGTGGTGAGCGGGGGCCAATGGCCTCGCCAGAGGCAAAAGGATGCAGGCTACGTCGTCTCCAGCTTGTGTCCTCGGTGCCTTGAGAAACCAGAGTCTCTGTTCCACAGGGTGTGGGAATGTTCTGCTAACACCCAGCATAAGGACTTCGATGATACCCAGCATTTGTATCCAGAGGCACAGGCACAGCATGAAGCGTATCCTGGATTCTGGCTTCGAGGTGTGCCTGGAGTGAGTGAGACCGTGCCCACCTTCGCTCCTCTCCCTCCTACGGTTGTAGATTTTGGATCTTTCGGCCTGATTCCCCGCGACGCCGAAGGTTTCGTGACGATCTTCGGTGACGGGTCGGGGGGACGTTTCTCGAGCGACCCTCGGCGTCGCAGGGTCGGGGCGGGGATTATAGGCCTCACTCCTGTCGGGTCTTCGTGGGAGCCCTCCGCGGGACGTGGGTCCACCCTCGGGGGCAGAAGACAGTCTGTGCCTCGCGCGGAGCTCCTGGCGTTTCTCATGGCTCTTAGTGTGTCTTCTGGCAATCTGCGCTTTGTCACCGATCACAGGCCGTTGGTGGATACTTGGAGCAGAATTCAGCGTGTTGGCGAGTCGTGTTGGACGTTGGGTTCGAACGCTGATTTCTGGTCCGATATCCTGAAGGCTGTCGCCTCCCGCGGACCTGGTGTGATCGATATCGTTTGGACGCCTTCTCACGTAGAGCTTGATCAGGTGCCTGTCCCGACTGTGCAGCAGCTGTTTCACATGTTTGGTAATGAATCGGCCGCTTCGCTTGCTGGCTTCATGGCCGAGATTGCGTGGTCTCAGTATGTAGTTGCCCCTGTTCCTTGCACTGATGAGCGGGATGCCATGGCCTCGCTGATTCGTCGTCGGGCGCGGAGAGCTCTAGCGTGCAGTATCCAAGCCGATCCATGGACCGCGGAGTGGCACCCCCCCAGCAGAGGTGAGGCTGCGCTCCCGAGGCTCGCTCGTTCGCTTCGGGACTCGCCTCATATGTGGGCCCGCGCGGGCCCGAAATTTCACTGTAGGAGATGCGATCTGCTCGCCAACCAGGACTCGATTTTCCAGGTTTGTGAATCTCCCTGCAGGGGCGGAGGAACTAATGAGTTCTCGCCTTATTCGGGGCCGCGGGGTATGTGGGGGAAAACCTTCCATGTGACCCATCGTCTCCAGTTTTGGGGAACATTTGTGCTAATTTTTTGCTCCCAATGCGGGAAGACGTGCACGACTGATGCACGGCAGCTCGTCCCTCGATGCGAGCCTTCGGCTGAGGGCAGACAGAACCTTGCCCGCATCGATCGGGGTGAATACCCACACCCAGGAGGCCCCCTCAAAGCGGTGAGGGAGGCTTTGGGCTCCTAACCTTGTAAGTTTCTGCACTTGCATTCTGGGCATTGTCATTGACCTACGTTGTCATCTTACCCCAACCATCTTCTCCTCCTCCTCCTCCTTCATCCTTCTCCTCCTCCCTCCTCCTCTTCCTTCTCCTTGTCATCCTCCTCCTCCTCCTCCTCTGCGTCGTCCTCTTCCTCCCCGTCCTCCTGTCGAGCTGATGCTCCGGAGGAAGCCCAGCTGGAGCGGAGGAATTCATACGGAATGGGCATGGGGAGAACTGGCACGAAGATTGGCAGCAGTCCTTGTCCACCTGGAGCAGGATCCGCTGTCGGCGTCGCCGCGGACGGTGTCCATCTGAGGCAGAAGGCCGCCTGCCCAACAGCGGACGCGGCCGGTTTCGGACAATCTTTGCTGTTGGGCATCGCGCCCAGTTTTTTCCTCGCCCGTTGCGGGCTTCCAGACAGTTTGGTGGCGCAGCCTCCGCTCGGGCTGCGCCCCGTTCAGTCGGAGCAGGTCAAGTCGGAGCTGCGGCGGTCTATCCGCCGCGACTCCAACCTGACCCAAGTATCCGACGTGTTTTGATTCATAGCGCGGGTCTCCCCAGGAGGCCAGACCCTTTTCCCAGGGACCCGCTTCCCATCCCGAGGCGTTTGGTTGGACAGCCCAGGGGCCCCGCAAGGGCCCGCAGAGCCCGACACCTGTCAGAACTCTTCTCAGGAGGGACAAAAAACACATATTCGTCGATTCCCAGAAACAAATGGGGAAATATGGGAAGTGGGCGGGGAGACAGAAACACAGAAAATATGGGAAACGATGGGGAATCTTTTTATTTGTGTGTATTTATTTGTGTGTCCTGGGGCCCCTTCATCTTCGTCGCGTTTTTGGTCCACGACGCGAGGATGTCGGGAGACGTCGTCTCTCCCGACCCAGCCCAGGGTGGGGCGGGCGACTTCGGGTGCGCAAGAGGGGGTGCTGACTGGGGGAGCGGATATCCCGGCCAGGGCCAGGAAAGCTCTCCCCAGATGTCACGGCGCTTGCTCTGATTCCACGGCGTCCCCTGGCCCCCCTCCCCCGGGGCCGCGCACGTGTCTCGGCCCATGCTTTGCGATGCAGCGGTTCAGGTTTGAGGCCCGACACAGTCTAGTAGGTATCTCCGCCTGCCAAGGTCGTGTTCCCGTTTGCCGCCCTGGCCACCTGACGATCTTAGGTTTTGGGCTCAATCAAACGTCTAGCCCCCCGCCGGGAATACCAAGTCAACGTCGAGCGATTTCTGGCCTCTCCCCTGACCTTTGCAATTCGCGAGACCCCCCTCTTGGACGCCCCGAGGCTCGGCCGGGCGCTCTGGCGCCTCGCACGCAGGGCCCTCGACGCCGCCCATGGGCGGGCGTGCTTCGTGCTTTGTGCCTCCTTTACATTCGGGCATGCCCCTCTACAGGAGGAGTATTCAAACATAGTCCTTCGATTCTTGTCAAGTGCTTTTGCACATTGCTGGGGTATCTTCTATCTTTTGTCCAAGATCCGCCTGTATGAGGACATGCCCGACCTGATACTTTCCCCCCCTAATGCTTCCCTTTGGACGCGCCCCTTCTTTTTACGACGCTGCATGTTCAAACTCGTGGGAAGGATTGTACGAGTGGAGCCACTTGTACACACTCGAGATCGTAAAGCAACCATGCACCACGACACCTGAGTTTCGGCGCTCCGGCGCCCCCGCCGAGCTCGTAGAGGGCCGCCCCCCGGGGCGCACATCGGCGCCTGTCCTGTCCTTCAAGCGGTGGCGAAGCGTCCTGGTTCGCCTCTAACCCCACCAAGTAATGTTCTAAGAACCCTCTTTGGTTTCCACGAACTGTTCTTAGAACGTTTCTGGCGGAGTCGGTCTTGTTCGAACACATCGGATTTATGTTCTAATAACATTGTTTTTGCTCTTGGAGCATTTCTGGGTTCTAAGAGCATTTCGTGGTATGACTATAGGAATGCCGGGACGGTCGGTCCCTGCTCAAGTCCTGTCCCTCTGTGGGCGCCCCCGGGACCCCCCCGGCGGCGCGAGGTCCTCCCCGCGGCCCGCGCCCGCTACTCCTGCAACGTGTGGTACTACGACCGCGCCGAGCGCGACGCCGCCCTCGCGGAGGCGCGCGCGACCGGGCAGGCGCGCCGAGGCAGAAGAACGCGCCGGCACGAGCACGAGCTAGACAGGAGGGAGGAGGAGGAGGAGGAGGAGGAGGAGGAGGACGAGGAGGAGGCGGAGGAGGAGGAGGAGGAGGAGGAGGAGGAGGCGGAGGCGGAGGCGGAGGCGGAGGCGGAGGAGGAGGAGGGGGAGGAGGAGGAGGAGGAGGCGGAGGAGGAGGAGGGGGAGGAGAGGAGGAGGGAGGGAGGAGGGAGGAGGGAGGAGAGGAGGAGGGAGGAGGAGGAGGAGGAGGAGTCGAGGAGGAGGAGGCGGAGGCGGAGGCGGAGGCGGAGGCGGAGGCGGAGGCGGAGGCGGAGGAGGAGGAGGAGGAGGAGGAGGAGGAGGAGGAGGAGGAGGAGGAGGAGGGGGAGGATCAGTGGACCCCCCCACACGCTTCACCGATGTTGCCATGCAGTCGAATCCGATGATAAGGATGGGCAGCCTTCTCAAGGGTGCCCTTGCATCCTTGCCTCTCCGGTCCGTTCTTTACTACCTACGTTCGGTGGCCCGCAGCGCTTTCAGAGCCTGGACATTGGCTTCCAAGGGACTTGCACCCTTACTGCACATCCTTACCATCAGTCTTGATTGTAAGCCATCCCACCAAGTTCCGTGCTCCATTGGGAGACAAGTGTCTGATAAGATATGATCGTGACAAAAACCATTCCTGAGACTTCAACGCCTCGAATCAACGTTCCTGTTGCGTCCTGACGATCACGCATCGTGCCAGAATATTCTTTCTGGGACTTCGACAGCACGAATCAACGCCACTTTTGCGTTCGGGCAACCCTCAATCATGCCAGAACAACGTTCCTGGGACTTCCTTCACACGAATCCTTGAAGCTGTTGCAGACTTTTCAGACCAATGTTCGCGGCGCTAGGGCGAATGCCACAGTTTGGAAATCACCCGCCCTCCATCTGTGAAGCTGTTTTTGAATTTAACGACGAAAGTGCACGACGCTGAGGCGACAGGCGCATTTGAAAACGACCCGCCTTCCATCCGTGAAACTGTTGCAAGCGTTTTAATACGAAGAATGTGCGCAGTGCTAAGGCCAAGGCCCTATTTTGAAAACAACCTGCCCTCCATCCGTGAATCTGTTGCAAACTTTGAAGACGAATGTTCGCGGCGCTAAAGCGGAAGCCACACTTTTACAATCACCCGCCCTCCATCATTGAAGCTGATGTCAACTTTTCGGTCAAGTGTGCGCGGCGCTGAGGCGACCGCCACAATTTGAACACGACCCGCCCTCCATTCGTTAAACTGCTTTGAATTGAAATATTCAGCATCATAAATAGTATGGAAGTCTCAGGGGAAACGCCCGGCCCGCCCGACGGACAGGTCTCGGGGTGTGACAGGGGGGAGCCATTTTCAAGGAAAAAGGATGGAGGAGTTGGAGGAGGAGGAGGAGGAGGAAGAGGAGGAGGAGGAGGAGGAGGAGGACATGGAGGAGGAGGAGGCGGACGAGGAGGAGGAGGAGGACGAGGAGGAGGACGAGGGGGAGGAGGAGGACGTGGAGGAGGACGAGGAGGAGGAGGAGGAGGAGGAGGAGGAGGAGGAGGAGGAGGAGGAAGAGGAGTTCTGGATCATCGGGTCTTCTTCGAAGAAGAGAGAAGAAGAGGAGGTCTGGACCAGACGGCATAAACATACACATTCGGAGGTCCGCGCAGACTTCTCGGTGTCAGTGCAGTTGTTTTCAGCAAAGACCGCGCGGCAGTCCAACTGCGGGTGCGTCCCAGGGCCCTAGGACTAGGGCCAGAACAGCGGCGGGCAGCGTGCATGCCACAAAACAAGACAAGCGTGTACAACATACACACATGGTGGCACGGGCGGCAGAGGGGCAGGGGAGTGCACTCTTCACACTGGGTGAGTACAATGCTGCCCCGATGCCGCTCCCTCTGAAAGGGCAACGCTGCACGCAATTATAATGTATATCAGCCCACGGGCCGAAACACCTCAAGCAGATGCGGCCTGAGGCTCGAAATATAAATATGAATGTCTAGATTCACCAATCCAGACTGTCAACTCAAAAGATATGCATGAGACACCTCAAGCAAGGTGCGGCCTGAGGCTCAAAATATAAATACAAGAATATGAATATCTGGATACACTACTCCAGACGATCAACTCAAAGGATATGCGTACATCACCGTAGCCCTCACTAGGTCCATCAGCAGCTGCAATCAGGACCTCACGGGCTCGCAGGCCCTGGAACGGCGACCCGACGCTGGGCCTTCCGCTCCTTGGCTCGCTCACGCTGTCCGCGGCGCAGCCGCAGACGGTGTGCCTCCTCATCCTCTTGCTCAGCAGTAGGCACCATGCTGAACAGGCCGTGGCGGAGGAACTGCGATAGTACCTCGTTAGGCTGCACGGCTTTTGTCAACACATCCGCTAGCATGTGGCTATTAGGCAGCCACTTGAACTTGATGGCCTCCTGCTCTATCAAATCCTTGGCCACCAGCAAGTCAATGAGGGTCTGCCGAGACACCGGCATCGACCCGATCTTGGACGTGTGATCGTAGAGCGACTTCGCATCCGTCACGAGCGCCCCTGGAACCTTCAGCGCCAGCCTCCAGTCCCCTTGCAAGGGCGGCTCCCCGTACAAGATTGCCTCAATCAGCAGCCTGAGGTAAAGCTGCCGATCCAAAGCCACGGACATAGCCGCAGATTCTGCGGCCATCGTAGATCCAACAACTCGTGTAATAGTACTGCTCTGAAACTCCACTAGACAGCATACGGTTAGCTCCTTCAAAACTCGGGTGTCCGTAATCATACTCATGAACCCCATCTGGCTCTTACAGCCGGGTTCCTTCGCAAACGAAGCGTCCATAAGCGTGAGCACCTGCAAGCGCTCGATGTCCACACGGCGGATCCGGAGAGTCGCAAGACCTCTCTTGTCGTAGTCCTGAAGCCGGTCGATGATGTCATTGAGCACTCGCAGGTGCAGCAACCTCCGACCTTTCGGATCCTTCTGTGCGAGCGCCGAGACACTATACGCGAGTTGTGGCACCACGCGTGCGACAGGCCACCGCACCTTCTGGAGCAAGCTCCGGTAGTCGTGGTGCTCCTCGGGAGTCATCTCCCGCTCCTCGTTGTCACCCCTTGCAAGGGGGTGCTTCGTCAGCTTGCCGATGTACTCGTGCATGCTGATCTCGATGTGATCGGGGTGGCGCCACCACTCCTCACCGAGATAGGCGACTGCCTCCTTGTCGTTGCCCTTCTTCCAGTGCTTGATGTTGAAACGACTGTTGATGTTCGCCTTCACCTCCTGGTACTGGGGATCGTGTGGGTCTCCAAACAGCATGCCGTCATCGACGTGCAAGGTCAACATAGCGATCAACTTGTCTTTCATTCGATAAACGAAGACAGCTCGAGCACAGCGCAGCTCCACGAAACCGACCTCGTCCGTCAACACCTGGCGGGCTCGGAGATACCACAACCGAGGCGCCTCAGTCAGACCGTACGCCCCTTTCAGCAAGCGAAGCAACGCATAAGGCCGCACGGCTGGCCATCCAGCACCGTCGACGGCTGGAAGCCCGTCCTTAGGAGCCCTCACATACAGCTCCCGTTCCAGCTTCAGCCCGGACAGGAACGCAGTCGCTACGTCGAAACACTCGAATGTCCAATCCATCGCCATTGTGATAGACGCACACACCAGCACAGCCAAAGGGGAAGTAGTAGGCGAATCCGTCCTGAATAGACCAAGCTGCGGATCGAGATGGCCAGGGATGATCAAGCGAGACTTCGCCTCCAGCTCCAGCCCTCGCCCCCGGTTCGTGCGAACCGAACGCATGGGCACCGAGATGATCTTGTCCTTCGGGATGCTCTTCTCCTCCTCCTCGGTGACCAGCTCGACCGTGTTGTTGGCGATCCATTGCCGCCACTCGGCGGCATCGGCCTCGTCGAACTTAGCCTTCTCGTGCTGGTTGAAGTGACGTGGGTCTAGCTCCTTCGCGTTCTGCTTCATCACGAGTGCGAACACGTCGTGCTCGTACCGGGCCTCCTGCAGCCATGCGTCATACACAGATGACACGTTGATCCATTCTTCGTAAGTCATCGGCTGTCGTACAAGACCCTCCGGAGTGTCCAAATAGTACACCCCTTGTGCATGAGCGTCCGGCTTGTCGTGGTAGAAAAGCGTGAGACCAACCCAGCTGTCCTCCGTGCGCTCGTTGGTACGGTTCGCGCCGTCGTCCTTGTAGGCACACTGGCCCGTAGCGGAGAGCATCACCGAGAGGCGATTGCACTCCCGGTGGCGGTCGTGATCATAGAGTCTCCGCCGTGGCTCTCGGTGTACACGTACTCCTCGTACGACCTTCTGAACGAGCGTGGAGACACCATCCAAGGCATTCTGGTCGAACCACTCCTGAGGTCCCGAGTGCACAACGGCGTTCATGGCCACCTCGCGGAGGGCCGGCAAACCACTCGTAGGAGCAGCCTGCAGACGCGTCTTCTTGATGCAAATCTGCACGTCATCTACCAGGAACTTCCGCTTTCGCTCAAGCTCGAAATCGTCTCTGGGAATCGGCGGCACCGAGGGGCCGCCAGAGCCCGATGCTCCCGGAGAAGCCTTCGGGTACATCTCAGAGGATATCCGCCCTGGAGGAGAACGAGAACGTTCCCTCTTCGGAGGGGGAAGCTGCGGCAGCTGCTGCTGCTCAGGCGGCTCCTCCTCCTTGGCCTGTGCCTCAATGGCGTCCAGGGCCCTCAGGTCCACACGAGGCTGCCTGGACCCCTCGAGCTCCCCATGTCGGTCACGCTCCTTCTTCAAGAACGTCTTCTTCACCTTCTGAACCTTCACCTTGGGCGTGACGTCCACGATGTCGTGGTAAGCGCGGTCATCTCGCTGCTGTGTCAGTCGCACGTCCGTCTGGATGGACTCCGCAGCTGCGGCCTCCTGGGAGGAGGCGTGCCGGAGCTGCTCACGAGCAACAAGTAGCACGTGACCACGCCAGGATACGTAGTAACGGCTGTTGGACTCCTTCGC